CACAGCTAAATAACTACATAGTTTTCCCAGATACATACTGTAGAGTTGGCAGCTGGAATCTCATGCTTCCGTGCCAGGTTCACCTCTATAGATACGCGTAATAATCCTAGGATTTGCTTTTTTCCCAAATACAACACAATTCTGCTGAAAAGCAGGAAGGTGTTTTATAAATCCATGCTTATCTAAGAATGAGTGGCTGGAGGTTTACAGTTCCAAACAGAATACACATACACTACGATTAGGAGGAGATGCACGTTTATTTTTGAGTTTTTAAAGGCAAAAATGTTCAGTTAAATAACACTGCTATTTGAGTTGGCCTATTTGAGAAAGAACCAGAACTTCATCCGTGGGAAAATGGGGATAATCATTACTATCTAAACCAGAACTATTTAATGAGTTTGGATTTTTATTTTAAGATTTTTTTTTTAAGAATTTGAGGGGATCTGTGCTTCATGTAACTGTGTATGGAGCATCCTCAGTATCATGACTTCTGAGGCTGTAGATGTAAATACAACATTATATATGACAGGGCAAGATTGAAATAATCCATGGCTTGAAAAATAACTAGCTGAAAAATTTGTCCTATTGCTTTTTATAGGCCTGGGGTATACATGGACTTACGTCATCCTGCTAAGGGAGAATACACCTCTGTTTGACACATGCTGCCATTTCTTCCTTTCTGTCTGTTCCAAGGACAGAGAGCATGAAATGAGCTACAGCCACTCATGCCCCTACACAAGTTACTGATTAGCCATATGGGTTAGGAACAAAATAATCCTTATAAATCAAAGACTTTGGAAAAATGCAGCAGAGGCAGTCTCTGAAGAAGTATGCTCAGACTTAGCTACATGCTCAAGTGCTGTGGAAAGTTTTAATCTCTGCTATCAGAAATTCAGTAAGACTTGATGTGACTAAGGTGAGATGAAGCCACTTAGAGACTGAAAATTTCACCTATCATGATGAAGACAGTAATTATGTTAAATATTGTCGTTAAATATCGTTGTTAAAAGTTGAATGAACCTCTCAAATTTCTGACCAGTCATGTCTGCATATACAGTGGACAAAGAGAAACTGTCACAGCTTCTCCTTTGTGTTATTGAGTGTTGATTTTGACGGTGTCCTTTGAAGGCTTCTGTGTCCATAAACTTCCACTCCTCTTCCAAAGCAGATGGTCTCACCCACACTATGTGCCCAGCGGTTCACAGCCAGGGAGGCATTGCCAGACACAGCATAAGGGCCCCATAAGGACCAAAACTATGCCAGGAAGCATGCTAGCACTTCGACAGTACGGATGATAGCAAAGCGGGGGATTAGCATGTTGCCTGGCCATATAGCTTACAAACACAGCCATAGGGTTTGTGATACTATTGGTTCTCTTTCCGGCCTTCTGTGCTGGGGAACAGAGCCACTGTCAGCTATTAGAGCAGTCACAGCAGTGGCAGCTGCATGCTGGGAGCTCATGGAATATGTAGTGCATCTGGTACATAAAATCTCTGTGGGGTCCTCTCATGCCTGTGCTTTCTGAAAAGGGAACAGCTGCAGGAGCTGGAAGGATCTCCACAGGCTTCTGGCCAATGTGTCAGTGCTTTAGCTGTGCTGTTCCTCATCTTGTCTGCAGGAGACTGGGTCATCTCCAGCAGAGAGATTCAGAGCAAGGCACTCCCTACTTTTCTCTTGGAACTTGGCTCTGTTCTTAATTAACACATTGGTGTTTGGGCCAGACCCCAATTGCACAGCTCAGCGGTGCTGTCATTTTCCTGGCAGGGGGCTCCAGTCAATGCTATGGCCAAGCCAGAGGAGGCAGAGAGGGCAGAGAAGCACCGACTCCAAGAGATACCTCGGAGGCAGAGCACGAGGCCAGAGTCACCAACTGACTCATAACAAGTCCTAAGGCAGGATGTGAGGTTCTGTTCTTCAAATTTCGGACCTAGCTGTGGGGAGCTATGTAAAGCTTACTTGCATAGGTTCCTGTTAGGCAGCCATAGTTACCAGATTTTGGGATAAGCTTCAGTTGTCTGTTGTGACCAGAAAGAGAACTGAAGAGCCTAGGAGGCTTGATGATTCAATTCTGTCACTGGTATTCAGGAGATGAAGGCTTAAATCCTTGCATTTGTCTCTGTTTCTTTATGCCAAGCAGAAGACTGGGAGTCTCAGGCAACATTCAGAAGAGTAAGAGGCTCTCTGTTGTGACAGGCCTGACCTCTTAGCAAGAGCTTTATATATAGCTCAAATAGAAACTGCATAAAACAAGGAACTTCTTTCAGAGTAGACATTAAATCATTGCTCCTGATTTGGGAGATGTTTCTGAGGCAAGGAAAACAGACTTACAAAATAACTCACTGAATATGCATGTCAATTGGTCTCCTTTATCCTTTGGGACTCAAAGCGTGGTTCTCTGTAATGTTTTAGGGTTTGAAGGGTCTTGGTTTTAAATACAAAACATGTCTAATACTCTTTAATTGGCTTTTAAATTGTTTATTTTTTCTCATTCCCTGAAATTAGCAAACCCCTTTTTCCTGTCCTTTATTGGGTACAGGAATCTTGCACTGTAGAACAGAAGTTCCCAATCTGGGAACTTTGGCTTTGACACAGCCTGAATGTCCTGTTACATGAATGTTCCATGAGGAAAAAAGGGAACCTTTTTGTATCATTTAGCACATTTAGCAGCCATTCATGCTGCTGGCAGCACAAACCTCCACTCGTTGCCACCTAAGAGCAAGAAGACCTGGATGACGAGGACCCTCCCCTTCCTGAAGAACCTCAGTTTACAGGACAACATGAAATTAACAGGTGAGTGGGATGGATTCTACTGGAAGGCACCCATCTCATCTGTGCCAAAAGTGGCAGCATGTTGAGGCCTCCCTTCCATGGCTGTGAGCCAGCAAGTGCCTGGTGCAGCTGGGAGTTGCACAAGTAGATGGAATGATAGTCTGTGCTCTGAAGAGATCTTTAACCTGTGTTTCATCAGGTGCTGTTCTCTTGTACCACAGGCCACAGACCTTTGGGGTCGTGATCAAGGTGGGTCCTGTCAGAGCAGGCCACTGGCTTGTGATGAGGAGCTGTGAGAGGTCTCATCTCGAGCCTTTCTCTGTGCTCTTCTGTACCCAGCCTGGCACCCACATTTAAGCCCTGGCCCTTGCATGGGCTGCACTGTTGGTGTGGCGTGCATGGGCCTGTACCTCACTGATCCTGATGTGGCTTCTGGTGTGACTGGGGACCTGTCTGTCCCTGCAGCTTGGTGGGGTGGTGGGCAGACTCCAGCTGAGCTTTTCACCTTGTGTCTCGTGCTCCACCATCCTTGATTGGGAGCAGTGGGTCGGTGCTCCATCGATGAGGTTTCTGCCTCACCCCAACCTGTGGTACCTGATGTACCTCCTCCTGCCAAAAATCTCTCCTCCAATGCTCCTATGCACCTGCAATGGGCAGAACAGAGTTGGGAAGGAAAAGCTGGGGATCACACAGGGATGTTGTTGCTGCAGCATCTTTTCCAGTCAGTGAGACAATCATTTCGGGAGTGGAATACATAAACCCTCTGGTGCATGCTTTTGTACATGGAAAACACATGCAATACCCAGTGTCTGTATGGGTATAGCTTTGTGTTATGCTGAATGTATTAGATGAAATGAAGATGTATTCAGGCCTTCTCTTGCACTGTACACAGATGCAGAGGCTCTGTGGACTTCAACTTACACTCAACTGTTACATGTGAATGAAGGCTTTCCTGGCTCAGCATAACCCTGCTCTTTTCTTTCATAGATGAGTCTGACTTATGAATACTGAAGCAGATGGTCTGCAGAATTTTTATTAGGCTGGATTATTTGCCTTGTATTGCAAGGAGAAAAATAGTCCAGATTGGTCTGTGTTTCATGTAACAAATAGTATTCTCTGGCATGCATGAAATGCAGGAAGGAACTTGGAAATTTGTGGAGAAATACTGCACTGTTTTCACAGGAAGGCATTTCAAAGGTATCTGAGATTTGGAGATGAACAGTGTGAGAAATGATACCAGGAAAGGGTGTATTATTTGATACTGTACCTTAAGTGCACCTCCAGGATGTGGTTATGACTTTGACTGCCAAGAGAAACCATTGGGTTGGAGAACTGTATTTATTCAGAATAAGGCATATTGGTCATCTTGTTGCAGGAGAAAGCAGAGATTCAGAGCAAGGCACTCCCTACTTTTCTCTTGGAACTTGGCTCTGTTCTTAATTAACACATCGGCGTTTGGGCCAGGCCCCAATTGCACAGCTCAGCGGTGCTGTCATTTTCCTGGCAGGGGGCTCCAGTCAATGCTATGGCCAAGCCAGAGGAGGCAGAGAGGGCAGAGAAGCACTGACTTCAAGAGATACCTCAGAGGGAGGCAGAGCACGAGGCCAGAGTCACCAACTGACTCATAACAAGTCCTAAGGCAGGATGTGAGGTTCTGTTCTTCAAATTTCGGATCTAGCTGTGGTCAGCTGTATGAAGATCACTTGTGTAGGCTCCTGCTGTGCCTAAGGTGGTAGCATGTTGAGGCCTCCCTTGCATGGCTGTGAGCCAGCAAGTGCCCGGTGCAGCTGGGAGTTGCACAAGTAGAATGGAATGATAGTCTGCGTTCTGAAGAGATCTTTAACCTGTGTTTCATCAGGTGCTGTTCTCTTGTACCACAGGCCAGAGACCTTTGGGGTCCTGGTCAAGGTGGGTCCTGTCAGAACAGGCCACTGGCTTGTGATGAGGAGCTGTGAGAGGGCTCATCTGGAGCCTTCCCCCATCTCCTCCGCTGTCCAGTCTGGTACCCATGTTTAAGCACTCTTTTGCCCTGGCACTAGCTGTGCTGTTGGTGTGGCATGCATAGGCATGTATCTTGCTGATCCTGATGTGGCTTCTGGTATGACTGGGGATCTGCCTGTCTCTGCAGCCTGGTGGGTTGGGCAGACTCTGGCTGAGCATTTCACTGTTGCGGCTCCTGCTCCACTGTCCTTGCTTAAACCTGATTACCACTTTTATTGCCAAGAGACACCTTTAAGTTAGAGAACTGTATTTATTTGTAATGAGGAGTGTTGATGGTGCTAATGTATAATTGATACTTAATATAATTAGGTAGTATGTTACAAACAGGGCTGTATAATTTTGGTACTCATTACAAAAGCACACAAAAGGGAGTGCTCATTAGCACAGAGTTTTTTAAATTTAAAAAGCTAAACTGAGGTGAAACAGGCCACCCATGTCCTCCATACACTGCTACTTCCAAGATCCCTTTGATCAGATATGAGGCCAGATGAACGTACTCTCAGTTCACTCCCGAGAGTGCACTGTAGTAGTGCCTTTGTGGGAATTTCTGTCTGCAACAGCTCTAGGAGATAGAAGCGATGTGATGTACAGCCAAAGGAGCCTTTACACTTCTAGAGCTGCTTCTCTGCTTTGTTAACACTGCATTATGCAGGTACGTCCCTGCTGCATGTGTGGGATGAACACTTGGGTGTTCTTGGAAGTGGTGGCCTGGAAGTGTATCTCTTAGTTCTGCTCTGAATCAAACCAGCTGAACTACACTCAGCCCATGTTCTGTTTTCACTGATGCCACTAGGAAGTGAGAATCAACTTTTGCTTTTCACTGGGTGCTTCTCTGCCCAATGACTGCATCAAATTTGACATTGGTGAGCTTTTTCAAGACAGCCAAGGCACGTTCTGGAAGCAACCTGAAAGAGACAACAACAGGAGATTTGATGTAAGATAAGAAGAATCAGCGTAAAAGTGGCACCACAGGTGATGGAAGAGCTGGTCTGGGAGTGGAAGTGTCCACACACAGACTTGAGACCAGGCTTAAGGCGGGTGTTATTTCTGAAGAATACATAGCCTCCATTAATCTCTGCCTAGTTTAACTCCAATCCCAGTCATGTCCTTGACATTTCCAAGTCTGTGTATCTGCTTGATTTGGGTTGCAATCCTGCTGCAGGACCAAAGAAAGTCAGTTTTAGGTGCATATTGGATGTGTTATGCTCTAAAAAGCAGTTGGCCTGTGGAAGGATGAGATGTGAAACTGAGGTGTGGTTTCCTCTCTGAGGATTTCTTCTCTTACAAGTCACGTCTCTGTGTCTTCCCTCTCCCACATTAAGACACAAAAGCAAAGTTATCCTAAGGGCTTTGACAGCATTAAGTTTGACTTGTCTATGCTTCTGCAACTTGCACTGTCAGCATGCAGCTCTTGGAGATGCAAAAAGACATAAAAGCTTTTTTCCAGTCTCTGTTCTGGGTTTTGCAAATAAGATATTACCAAGTGTCTCATGAAATACTGTAGGAGTTAACTGAAAAGTTAATTTAGTTGTTCTGATGTGATTCCAGATTTGGAATCTGTCCTCTGGTAAAACCACCTCCTCAGCAGAGCAGCTACACCGGCTACTAAAATCATGTGACAGGACAAATCTTGCTTTACATGGCAGGAAGAAGAAGTACAGCCTTTTTGAAGCAATTTTCACAGCTTCTATGACCTTAGTCTTTGGTGTCGGCATGAAGAAACAAACACCACTAAGCACAACACCTCTTTCTGAAACTACTCCGGGGCTGCTGGTTCAGAGGAACTGTTATTCACAAGCCTAAGGGAAATGGCAGTCTGTGAAGAAAAAGTGTTAACTTGTTCTCCCTCTCCTTCTGCACAAACTGGTAGAGCAGGTGAGTTCTCCACGGGGACAGTGAGCAGCAGAGAGTGGGTCACAAGGACCTATGACAGGGCTAAAAAAAACGCTTTTGTGTATGACATCTGCTGTTAATAGAAAAACAACACTGCTATCTCATTACTTGTCATGTGTTTCTCATACTATAATATTTCAGATGGGTGGTTGTTTAAAAAATAATATTCTCTTCTGCAGAGAGTTACATATTATCTAGTTACTGTAGGCATAATAATGTCAGATTTGGATTGGTAACTGTATAGTGATGTCAAACACCGAAGATAACAGAAAATAATTGAAACTTGTTTGAATATGAACTTCTGCTGTACAGCTGTTATTCCACTGTTTCTCTATGCTGCCAAAACATATTTTAACACATAGGTGAAAAATGCAGTTCCTCATAAAAAGTAATCTTGAATCAGATGTAACAAGTTTTATGCTTGTATGCTCAGGTAGTTAGCACTGATATATTCCCTCCTTCCCCTCTCACCCCCTTTTTATTCCCCTTTTGCTACTTACATTTCAGAGAGTAAAGCAATGTTTAGATGTGGTGGAACAAAAACCATTTTCTTGTTGGTCAGTATTCCTTCCATCAGGGCCTCGACAACTTCCTCAATCTCCAAAATCTTCCCAAGCCTGCACAGGAAACCAAACATGTAAGAGCTGCACTGGTAAAACAGGGGAGGTATGAGCTGATGTACGATGCTTCACATATGCACATGCTCAGGTAATCCAAATGCAGCTGTTATGGGGGTTAAAGGCAACTGCAGCTTTTCTTTAGCCAGTGCTACAACTGTTTTTATACAGTCAGTTGGAACACAAGGCCTAAAGCTGGTGCTAATGTGGTGTGTCTTGGTGCACAGAAGGCAGGTCAGGAAAGCAGAGAGTCAGTAGTTACCTTGTACTGGGGTTTTTGACAAATCCAGTGTTTATAAATACTGGAGAAAGACACGTAGTTTTTATGCCATCTTTTCCCAGGGTAGACAGCTCCTCTGTCAGAGCTTTATGAAATCCAACTGCAGCAAACTTGCTTGAACTGCAGGAGTGAGAAAAGCACAAATGAGAAGGCAGAAATACTATTTCTATCTTTCTGCAACTGGAAATGGCCTAAAACCCTGACACAGTCCTGACTAGGAGGCAACAAAATACAATCCAGCTGAGAAATGGTGCAGAGACTGCTTCTAACTGCCCTGGACCTGAGCATAGTGCTGGATTAGGGGCAGTAACTGTGGAATGCAGAGCGGTGCCTTTCAGAAGTTGCCTTTGCTGTGAGCAGACAGACAAATGTCAGGAATTCTTAGAAAATGAGAACCAACGTGCATCAATTGATAGCGTTCCTGGTTTTCCCACGTGAGGAGATTCTTTGAAGGCATGCAGCCTGAAGCTCTGATGTTCAGAAGGATGGGAAGAGTAGAAATGGAGAACAACCCTCTACTGCTCCTCGTACCACACAGGTCTGTCTCGTGACAGTCATGTGTGAGTGTTGGAATAGAAGAGCATTATGTGTGCCAAAGCTGAGGAACATACTGCCACAGAAATTGGTGCAGGCCAGGAGTATGAATCAACTCCCAAGAAAGTAAAACCAGTTTGTTGACTGTTACTGATTTGGACAGCGTAATTCCAGTCAAATCCCTGACACAGGAGTGCTCATGTTGCCAGCAGTGAATGACTCTCTAAGGAGGAGTGTTCCCAGGGGAAGACTGCTCTTCCTGGAGCTGCTATCATAGAGGGCTGGATCTGATACAGAATGACAATATGCAGTCTAACAGGTTTGCTGTTCATGCACCATGATTCAATTTCTTATGTTAGAAACAGGCAATACACTGACCTCTCAGATTCATCAGTTAGTTTGCTCACAACACAGTAAGTATTATTATGTTTTTTTTTTCTGAAAGTTAATTTTACAGTCAAAAACCATTTTATCTCATGATGGCAAAATTATTTCTATATACCACGGTCACTGCCACAAAGGTAAAAAGATCAAAAGCTATTCATTTGGAGTATACTTGACAACACTACACAAACTTACAGAAGAACTACTTTCTAAGAAGGAGAAGGGAAGAGGATACCTTTTTTTGCTAAGCAAAAGTCTGGATCAGTGAGGAAGAGAACAAAGAAAAGCTTTCGTTAGTTGTTGTGTCATATAATTATTCCTTCATACAAGCATTGATCCTGATTCAGTCACAGCTAATAAGCAAATTCATGAGACCCTCCAAGCATCTGTAAGTTCTGGCAGTTAGGCTTTTCTCCTTAGCACAGACCTCAGGCCATACTGTATTCAGTAGTTGGATTATTTTGGTTATTTTATGCTTTCTGATGGAGAAGATGCTATTAATATAATAATAATAAAAAAGGTTCTGATGATAAAGTCACTTACCAGTAAGCCACCATGAAAGAAGTTACTAAATGACCCGCTGCTGAAGCCACCGTGACAATGTGACCATGGTCATTTTTGATCATAGTTGGCAGAAAAGCTTTTGTGGTCTTGCATCAATGAAATCAAGAAAATTGCAGGGGGGAGAAAAGGGAAGAAAGAACAATGTTCTCTTAGGTGTATTCAGTACTGACCCTCACTATCATTTAATTGACAAACGCCATCATAAATGCTCTGTGCTGCACAGCCCCTCAGATTCTGAGAGCCACAGAGATACCTGTTCTCCTGTCAGCTGGTACAAGTGGCAACCTATTTCCCAAACTGGAATGTTTCAGGAAGTTGGCTGTCAACAGGAGCTGATTCTCACATCTGTCCCAGGCTGCTTTTCAGATTTTGGGTATCAGCAGGAAGGCTGCTGGTGTCTCACCCCAGCACATAAAACAAAACATTCTTCAATCTGTTGCTTTCCTTTTCTCCCACTGCAAAAAAAGAAGTCCTTAACAGCTGAAACCCTCCTGCTAAGTAGCATTTGCTGGCAGCTGCCCTGTTGCTGTACTTGCAGGGTGCTGGTGCTCAGCTGTGGGTGCCGAAACTACCCCATGCAAAGGGAAACCCCAACACATTTCTGATAGAGACAAACCCGTGCTGCAGATGAGGCTGTGGCCAGCTGGCTCTTGCAGAGACAAGAGAAAATGAAAATCAGGGCCAGGCTCAGATTAGCAAGAGGTTAATCCAGTTTATACACATGTAAATGCACTGGTAGCTGAAAAGAATTGTTAGTCTAAATATGTGTCCTGGACAACACTTCCCTCAAAATATAGGTATGAAGTTGATGGTGGTCCTTACCCACATGTGAGCAAGAATGTTGACTTCAAACATTCTTTCAATCTGGTGGTCCTGAGTTGAGAGGAAGTCAGCAGCTGTAATCACACCAGCGTTATTCACCAGGATGGAGACATCCCCAGTTTCCTGTTTCACCTTTTAGACAGAAAAAAACCCAGAAATTTTTGTGTCATAAGTTTGGGTTGTTTTTTTTTTATGGAGAGGACAGTAGTGCCCCATTTCCAGAGGTGGTAGGAACTGTTGCAGCAGTACCATGAAATAGGTTTTAGATCTGGTGCTTCTCCCTTTTAATTATTGCCAGTATCTGTAGTCTTCCACACATTGCCTACAGATGCAGTATGCTCTGAGTAGTTTTAGTTGGGACTATGGACATAGAGACTGTTTTGAGCCAGCTTGTTTCAAGTAACAACGCAATGCCCTCAGTGCTCTCTCCTTGCTCTTTAGGAAACTAAAAGGCAGAAGGTCCCTCAGGAGTTGGACATCAAAAGAGCAAACCTGCAATGACACGTGATATGCCAGAGCCTCACAGAAGAGGAAGAGGGTGGCTGCCATCTGGGAAACGAAATGCTACTTTGCTCTCTGTACTGAAATCAGCAAGAAGTGGGCAGATTCCAGGGGTTGTCATGAACTGCGTACAACACTTCTTGTTTTCCCAACCTTTCCAAAGATGAAGCATGTTTGGGTAAGCCTTTGGAAGTGCCCCTGCTCCCCTACCTTCTCTGCAGCACTGTAGATTTCCTCCCTTTTGCTGCAGTCCACCACGAAGGCTTGTACAGTGGCTCCCAGCCTTTTGCATTCTGCTGCCGTTTCCTCAACATTGTGCTGTAAAGGCAGAAATGAAAGACATGTGCAACTGTACCATGCCCGCGTGTTGCTGCTCGGACATTGTTCACACCAGCCAGAGGCTAAATACTTCTGTCAATTGCATTACCACTGCTAAGACCCCGAACAGTTCATAGGGACCAAGTGAAAGAGCTGCAGCTGGGGTACTGTGGCAGGACCAGTATTCCAGCCTCAAATTTTGGCCCTGTGTAGAGTAACTGCCAGAAAGGGCATGTGGCAGCAAGAGTGAGTTTACCTTGGCAAAGCACACATAGGTAGGCGGCAGGAAGGGGGCACTCGGTGGCTTTCCCACTACAGCAGGCAGACTCCACAGCTGAATTCAGAGCTCTAAAAACACAGACCCTGGTGACACCCCCTGAGATGTAAAAATGGCCCTTTGCGTTTCTGTGTTCACAGACTGGATGTGAGAGGAGCGGTTTGCTCCAAAGGGCACAGTGTAGAGAGACTTTTCTTATGAGAACAGCATTCAACGCACACACAACAGAAGCTCCCCTAAGTCATTTTATCAAGCCACTAAGTGAGGGCAAAAGTGACTTAGCTGTATCCTTGTCCCCAGGAGCCAGAAACCCATGGCAATGGGGACCTGAGCTGTCACAAATGACCTGGGACAGCTCAGAGCCTCACAGAATCTTTGCAGGTCCAGGGTGACTGGGCATCTCTGCTCAGCCCAAACTGCTGCTTAAGGCTGATGCCCCTCAGGAATGGGGCCTATGTCATGGCAGCTGGACTGGAGAGGTATGTTCTTAAAACCCTTGGGATCCACCGCCTCTTTGAATTGTATTTCAATGCCTGCTTACACACATCTTTACAACATATTCCCCAGCACCTAGGCCAGGTATAGCTTGCTATTTGATTTTACTCCTTTTCACCCATTCCAGTGCCATGCCTCCTCCCACCCGCTCCAGCCTCTGGTCTTAGGCATCATGGGTAGCATGAACAGGCACCAAAAATGTTCTACAATATCCTCCCTAATTATAAATCCCCTTACAGAAGGCTTGGCTTGGGGGTTTATTTGTTTGTGGTGGGCTGTTTGTTTATTGCAGCTTCAGGATGACATGATGAACTCCTCTGCAGCTTCTGATCCACTGTGTCAGAAGCCCTCTCCACACAGAGCTGCCCACCTACTCAACCCCATGTACAGCCAATTGCTCCTACGAACGTGCCTTTGCCTTAATCGCCATTGAATGACATCCTGTGTGTTTGTACCTGTCCATCCTCCACTTGCCAAGATCTCTTGCATTTGGGCAGATTTGTCAACATTTAGTAAGGAGCCACCTACACATGTAACTGCGCCGGAGGGCAGCAGGGCTCACCCATAGCTCAAAGTAGTGATTCCCCTGGATATGAGTGGGGAGACAAATGCAACGTATGCATAATCCAGCAACATAAACAAAATATCTGATGCCAGGGAGGCAGCGAGCAGGTGGTGAACCCGCTTCTCTGTAGGAACAGGCTGCTGGTCTCACATGCCTTTTCCTGCCAGCCCAGGCAGCAGTTCCCACAGCACCTTGCTGACCCCTGCGTTCCCTCTTGCAGGTTCTCTCTGCCGTGCTGTGGATACCACCTCGCCGAGTAGCACCGAGTGACTGTGGGACCCAGACACTGACATCCTCTGGTGCAACGGGGCAAACCCTGGGCTGAGGCTCAGCGTCCCCATCCGTGAGCCTGCAGGAGCGGCCGTGGCAGCAGGTGTGTGGATGCAGTCGTGTGCCGCCCTTCCCGTGCTATTAACCCCCAGTGCCTCCCTCGGGGACGGACGAGTCAAGACACGAGCTGTGCCGTTACCTTGCTGATGTCCCACAGCACCAGTCTGCTCTGACGCTTGGCAAACTCCAAGGCTGTCGCTCTCCCTACACCGTGGCCAGCACCTGTGATGAGAACGAGCTCTCCACTGACAGACTTTCTCTTCACAGGGATAAAAAGCTTCACAAACGCTTCTAAGTAGGAGTAGATGAGCGTGACCACGAACAGGAGGATTTCCACGAAAGATGTTGTGAGCCTCAAGTGGTTTGTGAGTTGGTTTGTGCTCTTGAGAATATTGTCTCAGCAGTGTATGTGAGAGCACGTGCATGCTGTAATTGTGGCCAAGGAATTCTTGACTTCAGTGTTCTAGATGCACCTGAGGATTTCATAGCATGAATGAGGTGTTTGAGAACTGGAACTTCTGGTTTTGAAAAAGCCTGGTCTATTCTGCTGATTATAATCCAATATTCATGTCTGGGTTTAAACAGCAGGGTTAATACTTAATGTATGAGTTGCTTTCTTTTTTACCTGAAACTCATTGGTCCCATCATCACCTTGCTCAGATGTCATGTTGTTAAAACCTGAATGTATTTTTGAAGAGGATGTATGTTTCCTTACATGCTGGAAGTGATTCTTTTTAAGAGCTGGTGATCAGATACTGTAACACAATCTGCTGTTAAGTATTTTATTGTTAACTAGTCTTTCAGCTCCCAAGACCCATGGCAGAATAAAATCACTAGAGGTATCAAGTATTATTTTTTTCTGTTAACTAGTTTGATAGTTCTGGCTTTCTTTAAAATTGAAAAACAGGGTATATGTTATTCTATTTGGTATTGCACAAAGTGATAATTTGGTGGTCATGGCAACTTACAGAGCTGTGTTGCTCCGGGGTTTGGATGTTTCATTCTTCTCTTACCAGGCCTACCACAGGATGTGAGAGCAGGACTGTTGTAAGGCTGGGTTGGTTTGTTGATGAAATGCTCACATAGGGATTTAATGTTCAAGCAGGCCTTCCTGCTGCATTTATGGTAAGTATCTTGAGGTTTTCCTTGTCTATGGTCAGTGTTCCACGATCGAGAAGGGTAGTTGTAGTTCTCAGCTTCTCACTCATGCTATGAAATTGTCATGTGTGTCTAGTAGAATACATCAAGAAGATGAAGGTACAATTCAGAATTTGTTGGTCCAGGTATGCATTTGCATGATACCTGAAAGAAGTAATAATATATTACTGAGAGCTGTTTTGTGGAAAAAGACTAGTCTGTTCTGCTTGCTATGATGTACTATGCAGGTCTGGGATTAAGGAAGAGGGTTAAAACCTACCAAATGAGATGCCTTTTTTCTTTCTTTTTTTCAGTAATTTGTCTGCAAACTGTTGGTCCCATCTTTATCCTGTTAACATGCTCAACAGTTGCAATGTTAAGCTCTACCACAGCAAAGCTCTCACCTCCCCGTATCCAGGATCACACGTGGAGCGTAGCCACGTTCCTGCAGATAAAGTGGGCTGGCTGACTGAGTGGAAAGATTATAATCCTGTGGAGTATACTGCAAAATCTGTTTTGGCTGGACCCAGTTGGGCAGATCCCCAAATCAAGTGAGTGTCATTGTGTCTCTTCTCCTGTGAACATGGAAGTAGGAAATAGTGATCAGCTGAATTAATAAAATCCTCAGCTTAAGTGATGTGATTCTATAGTGATGTGTGAAAGTCAAGACCTAGAAAGATGGTGGTTAGAGAACTGAATCATTTGAGTTAGCTCTTAAGGACCCATGATTTTACAGAGCTAAGAATAATGTTAATTGCAATAATGGATATCTGTTGATGCTGGGTAGTGCTGCTTCTCTGTCTTGTGAGCTAAGTAAAAATTTCTTCATTCTTAAGAATTTGGGAGAACATTTTCATAATACACTTGTTCACAATTGAATGCAAGATGAGAAAAGACTTAAAGTAGAATTGTGACTCTTGAGTGCTCTGATTCAGGAAATGCGACAGGTTGAATGCATGACTAATTCTTTTCTTAATGAATGTGTGTATTCATTTTTATTGATTCTGTGAATAAGTTCTCCTCTCAAGGAATGCTGTGTGCTTCTTGCCTAGAAAGTTAGATCCATCCATCTAGTGTAACTTGTCATAGTGTGAAATGACATCCTCTACATCCATATCTGTGTGTAAAGATCAGAAGATTGTGGTACTTGAGGTTTCAGCCTTGCCTTCCTTGTTTGTTTTGCTGTGTGAACATGTGCTTCTATTTGCTCTTAATTTTGGTTAGTATTCAGGTGGCGCATACAGAACAACTAGGTGACCAGGCCCAATCAGTAGGGGTTTATGAAAGGCAGGTGGTGCTTGACTTACCTTGTCTTCTTCTATGATAAGTTTTATAAACTATCTTTATTATTCTTTTCCACACAGTGATAAAGGGTTTTCTCCCAAATTCAATGAGAGAGATGGAGAAGTGGACAGGAAGAGTCTCAATGGCACATACGTGGTTGAAAATGGGAGGCCCCAGTGAGTATGTTCGCTGTTCACATATTCATTTCAGTGATGTAGGCCTCTTACAGGTCTGTCAGTTTTGATACATGACACCTGCTAGAACAAAATTGAGATAGTAATTCTTGGAGACAGAGAAAATGATACTTCAGGGCCATGGAAGAAGACTGTGGCAGAGAGGCACTAAAGGTTAGCCAGTGCTGCCACAACAGAGCATTGTGGTGATACTGGAGTCAGAGGAGGTCTGATCTGTTAATAGTAGGGTCTATTGAATCAGTTGTTTCTATGGTTTGACCAGATGTTGGCCTGTGCAGCTTTTGTAATACTTCTGTGCTGTGGTAGAGCAGAAGAGTATTTCCTTCTACTGATAAATCCTGGCATAGCACAGATGGGTAATCTCACCTAAAAATAACATCTTTTATTTCTGTCTTCTGAATGTAATTGAATGCTCTGTGCGTTTGTAGTCTTGGAAACCAAGATTCCATTTTCAGGCAAGGTTGTGGGCACAATGAGAGTAATGCTTAATCAGAGTATCTTGGGACACAAGATCTAGGAAATGATAGAGCCATTTTGTGTATTTCCTTTCCCTGTACTGTCAAAGGCAAAGAGGTTGATAAAGATGAAAACAACGCTTTGTCTCTATTGCTTTTTAAAGCATATGGTAGCACCGAATATATCTTGCTATCCTTTCCTTTGTTGTTTAGGCTTCTTTAAAGCTGCTTTTTTAGAATACTTGGAGCATATTTTGAATATGGAGAAGTAAATGTCTTTAATGTACTGTGCCACTTATTTCAGAAATCCGGTGGGAAGGACTGGCCTCACAGGCAGAGGATTGTTAGGGCGCTGGGGACCAAACCATGCTGCTGATCCTGTTGTAACTAGGTAAGGGCCAGGTGACAGAAAGCTGCCTGGCAGTAGAAATAAAAAACCCATGCATTTTGCTTTTTCATTGCATCTCTGGACAGGCTATTACTTATCATAGGCCTTTTATATGTGTTTATCTGTGTGTAAGCTCATTCAGATATCGGTAACTGAATGGAGAGATATATAGACATCTGGAGTAAAAATTTCCTAATTTTATTTTTTTTCAGCCTTGGTCTCTGAAGAAGAATAAGGACTCACTGCTAATGACAAGCAGTAGTTTCTGAAATGCTGAGGAAACAGATTTAAGGGAAAAAATAGTACAGGAGGATAAAATAGAAATGCAATTTACAAATAATCTTTAGTAATGAATGTAAAAACTGAAAGGATTATGTGATACTTCAATACTGTATACATAATATCTCAAAAGGCCTTAGGTGAGGCATGTTAAATTACAGGGATAGGTTTTTCTGTTACAATGACTTAACTGCAAACAAAAGCTGTGTGCCTACTTTTGCTTTGTAAGGAATACTAACTTGGCCTAGTATATTATAGGAGGAGGTGGGGTTAGCGTCTTCCTTTTTTTAAAAAAATATATTTTTGTCAGTATATGCTCTTTTAATGGTGCTTTTGCTAGCAGGATCTGTGTGTACATACTGACTATTTTACACAAAGAAAGCATTCAGAAAAGATTGTGTAGTTAACGCAGGTGCAAGCGAAGCAATGCCATTCTGAAGATGGAACCATTGTGAAAATCAGCCTAATGCATTTTTGTTCTTTCCCTTTTCAGAAGGCTGTCAATGCCACCAAGTTGTTTTGTTGAAAGTAAAAGAAATGATGGTTTGATTTTTGTATTTGTTTAGACAGCTTTTTGCTTGAGGGTGGCGAGGCACTGGAATGGGTTGCCCAAGGAAGTTGTGAATGCTCCATCCCTGGTGCTGTTCAAGGCCAGGTTGGACAGAGCCTTGGGTGACCTGGTTTACTGCCAGGTGTCCCTGCCCATGGCAGGGGAGTTGGAACTAGATGATCTTGAGGTCCTTTCCATCCCTAGCTATTCTGTGATTCTGTTGTTAGTTTTTATCTACTATTGTCTTCAGTAAGGAATTGTTTGTGGCGTTGTGCTTGTGCTGGGCAAGCAGTTTAGAGGTGGTGTTGCAGCCTGCATGTACTTTCAGTTTTAGCAGAAGGCATACTTACCCTCTCATTATGGATAAGCACCAGGCTTGGGGAGCTTTGCAGCTAGTAGGATGTGCTGGAGGCAGCTCTCAAAGTAGCTGCCGCTATCAGTGTAGTTACAGAAGTGTGGCTCTTGGGCAGTTTCTGATCTTCTGGCTGAGGAAAATGCAGTTGGTAGAGGTGTGCAGAAAACAAAGTGGTTTGCCCTGGGTTGTGAGTGTGCCAGACAGCAACCATCACCTGCCCCCCATGACTGTTCTTTTTCTGCTTTGTTTGCTCCTGCACAGATGGCAGTGCAGTTGCTTCGCTGTTGCTTTGCCAGGCCCTCATGTCAAGAGGCAAAAAAGCATGTTCTTGTTTGTCATTTGCTGCAGGTGGAAGAGAGATGGAAGTGGTAATAAAGTTGCTCATCCAGTTACTGGCAGAAACATCTTGCAGTTTGTAGCTATCAAGAGGAGAGACTGTGGGGAGTGGGCCATTCCAGGGGTAAGAACAAAGTTCTGGTAACAGTAGACATTTCCCTGCTGGCAAGGACATGAGGCTATAACTTGTGTGTGTTCAGTAAAAGCATGCCTTCTGGTGAGCAGCCTTGTGTACAGAGGTGAGGAGAAAGGCTCCTTAAACTGACTTTGCCCAAGCATCAGGTGGGATGCCTTCTGCTGTTTCTGCATTACAAGGCAATATTTGTATTTAATTCTCACCATGTATTTTGCTTAATGCAGGCATAATTTAATCCATTGTGGGTTTTGAAGGGCGTGCATGCTCTCACTTTACATCTAAGTGTACAGTTCCTCCCATGTCCAGAGTATGATGCAGGTGAATGTAATATACTAAGAGCCAGTTAAAGGGGATTAAGTCCAAGTGGAATCAGAGGGATAGTCATGTTTGTGTTCTTTTTTTCTTTCTGCCCTCCCCTTTAAGGGGATGGTGGACCCAGGGGAGAAGATTAGCGCTACCCTGAAGCGAGAATTTGAGGAGGAGGCCTTGAATTCCTTGCAGAAATCGCCTGAGGAGAAAGCGGAATTAGAGAAGCAACTCCACAAGCTGTTCAGCCAGGAACACTTTGTGGTGAGCTCTGCGTCTCTTGTGATAGCCTCTTGAGCTATGCGTGTAACTCACAGCTGTGTGGAGCTTGGAAGAGTGTTGCTAAAATGGAAATAAACTGTGATGCTGGGGTTGTCAGGGTGTAGGAAGTGACTGTTGAAAACTGTGTAAGGGCAAATGTATAGGAAGAAAGGAAAAAAATCTTAGACATTCCACCTTGTTTGTTTGACACTGAGCTTGTTTTGGTTTGTTTGGGGCCTTAGGTATACAGAGGATATGTGGATGACCCTCGTAACACTGATAATGCCTGGATGGAGACAGAGGCTGTGAACTATCATGATGAAACTGGTGGGTGTCTCCATGTGTGCTTTTAGTTGCCTTTTACTCTGTACGTTGGTTTGAAATTGGGTTGTATGAAATAAGGATGAAACATATGGACGTTGCCTGAAAATGATACGTGTTTGTTAGCTAGTTCTAAGCTATGGACTTTGTGCCTTAAGAAGCTCAGTCTTCATATGGAGATTGGACATTGGACAAGGATTTCTTCTTGTCACTGTTTATCTTGAATTCATTTAATTTCCTTTTTAATGAGTCTGGGGTGAGAGGGTAGTCTGTTTCTCTTGATATTTTTTCTTTAGTAGGTAGTGTGTGCTTCAGGAACATTCCATCTGGCTCCTGGCAGATTCTCACCACATTTATTGCTTTGTTGTTGTAACTGCTCTGAGACCTTTTATCTTGGTTACTGTGCCAGAGTAACTGTTGGACTTTATTTTATTTCTATAAATCAGTAGGAGTGGGCATAGCATAAGTTGCTAGCTTTTAGATTTCTCTGTAAACGTGGATTCTAACCTTTCACCTTTAAGGTAAGTCAACCTAGTTAGGTGAACAAGTCAGAGACTTCATCTAATGGCATTTCCACTGTGTTTTGGGTAATAGATACCAGTGAAGTTTCACATGTCACTGGTCCTTGATTTATCAGCACTCAAAACTGCAAAGATACTGTTCCTTTTTGTTTCTAATACACATTTTCTAATACTTTTAAAAGCCTTTATTTGGTTGTTGTCTGAAGTCCTTGGGATTCTTTTTGGAAACAGAGTAAGAAGAGAACATTTCAGAAGCTTCTCTACATCCCTCCTTAAGTACTGTTTTTGATTTTGGGGCCTTTAGTAAAATTTTAATTATTTTGGTTTTCCGTAAGCATGTATGTTTCAGAATTCAGTTTGTCCTGTAGAACAGTGCCTGAGAAAGGAAGCAGTCAGATGTTAGCTAAACAAACAAACCAAGGCAGAGGGATTAGCTAAACTTGTGGTAGTGAGTACATGTTGTTATGATGATTTCTATTAACTTATGCTGCTGCTGATACCCCAGGAGTGGTGACAAGGAGTTAACACCATCTCTGCTACTCAGATTTGGTTTAAAACAGTGCAAGTGTGCAAAAAGGTTTCTGGCACAGAAACAGTGAGCAACTTAATTGATTGAGAAGTAGTTGAAGATTGCAAAAGAGCCATGTGGAAGGGTGGAACTGATCAGTTGTGAAAAGAAAAAGCAGGAAAGAAGATGCAGTATCATGTCCTAACTCTTGTTCTGTGAACAGGTGAGGCATTGGATAATTTGCCCCTGGAAGCAGGTGATGATGCTGGAATGGTCAAGTGGGTTGACATAACTGAGAAGCTCAAGCTCTATGCAAGTCATAGCTACTTCGTTAAGCTTGTGACTGAGAAATGGGGAGCCCACTGGAGTGAGAATCCTGGTCCTGAGTGCCATGAGTGATGTAAATGAAGACCCAATGAACATCAAAGGGAGAATACATTTTCCAGCTCTGAAACAGATGACGGTGTCCTTTTCAGTGACAGTTCTGCAGAATTCATCTGGCTAAAACACTTGGCAATGATAAATAGAGACCTTGAGATTGCTTCTTTTGATTTCTTACCTCATGTGAAATAATGTGAATGTAGAACTGTTACCTTGTTTTGCTTTGTCTTCATTATTTGCAACCATTTCATATCATCTGCCAATCTGCATGAGAACACAGGGAGTCTGACTGGTTGTAGTTCAGAGACTCTCCACTTTAGCTCTGTATTTTTGCACTCATTTCTTGTCAAGTGTATGAATCCATACAGGATGAGAGACTTGTGGGAGGATAGCCTGAATAATAACTTGATTGAAGTGCTACATAATAAAATGACATTTCTTTTCTGAGTTTTGCTTAATGTGTCCTTTCAGTGATTTTTCTGAGAGATTAGTTTTCACATTTCTTGCTCTCTAGTTTAAAGTATGGAAGGTATTCACATCTGAATGTCTGACAGTGCCTCTATCTATAACAGTATCTGTTGGTGGATGTAACTTGATGACTAACTTCGGGAGCTGGGTTTTAAGGTTCCTCTCTTCATATTGCTTATGGCTATTAGGAGGACTGTGCCGTGAACAGGATCATTGGGAAGAGCAACCTTAAAGTATAATCTTGTAAATTGTGGTGGGTTTTTTTTTGTGAGTCACTTGCAGTCAGGAGGCTGATGTGGGCCTTCTGTGACATTTATGCTGGTAACAATAGCTGCACAACAGTTGCTGACATGTCTCCCTATGTTTTTATTCCAGGGGTAATTGCTGTTAATTGTGTGTCAAGAGTTGGTGACAGTGACAGCTTAATTTTGTGGTTGAGACCTGGGGAGGGGATCTTAATGAATTTTGAGCCATGTGTTGAAGTCAGATGGTGGTAAATGTCATGGTCTGGAATTACCTTCTCTAACAGTACTGTGACATGCTCATGCTTTGTTGAGACTGTTGGCCACATCCTGCTTAACTAATGAATGTTTTTAGAGCTTGTTCCTTTTCAACACCACTTCTTCCCAATTAGCTTATGAAATCTGGAGAAGTCATACGCATTTATATGGGGAGACACTGGGAATCTTGTAGAGTTAACGTGTGTTACTTTCTAAGGAAAAAGTAATGCTAAGAGTTATTAATTTTTCTTTCAGTCCTTGCTCACCTCTTCCTGCACATTTGGTTTCTTCTGTGGTCTTACTAAAACATCATAAATGCTTTAATCTAGGTTCATTTAAAACTAAATGGAAACAACCAAGTCTATAGAAGATCAATAAAATCATCAATGTCTTATCTACTTCACAAAATGAAGAAATAATAAAGATTAAAATATTTTTAAATTAATATAGAATAATAACGTAGTTAAAGTGTGGATGGGGAAACTCGCTTTCATTTATCATCCTTACTCTTAGTGCTCTTTTAATTTGTAGATTAAATACTGGTGGTGGTTGCCCCTTCACAGGCTACATGAGGTCACGTGAAAATTTTTTCTTGTACTGTGACTGTAGGTAGCATCTATCTCTGCTTATATTAGCAAATACTCCTTTTCTGTGCCTTGCAATGAAAAAGCTGAAGTGGCAGCATCACTGAGAGTTTCAAAACAGGTTGGGCGAGGCAGGGAATATGCTTTTGTACGTGTAATCCAGGTTGATTTATGTACAGTGCTGTGTGATGTTACAGAGTGTGAAGTGGGTGACGAATCCGGCTCATAGGAGAAGCTGTTTGTTTAACTGCTTTTGGAGAGAAATAATCTTTTGCTTTTAAGAAATTCCTGTGTTGAAAGTAATCAAAGCTTGATTCATTGTTTCCCAGGGCATCAGACTGGAGCTGTACAGGTTAGCAGTCCTTGCTGGTTCAAGAACAAACTAACAAGTGGCAAGCGGATTTCCACTATTTAAGCTACCCAAACAGCATTTCTGAATTCCATTTTCTTTTCATTGAAAGGTGTTGTGCTTCAAGCAAAAGGTGTTTTCTGACCTTCCTTTGTAGGAATAGCATTTGGGGCTTCTTGCTTACAGCAGAACATGCCTGGAGCATTTTTAGTGAAGTGCTTGGCTTAAAATCACAAAGAGAATGGGATTCAGGAATAATCTCATCCTGTCACGATTTTTATGCCTAAATTGTGTCTGTCTTTAGGAAAAACGAAGTTGGGAGATGGTGAAATAAATAGCATTTCTTTCTCAGGAGAAATGGTAGCAGTAGTTGCTGCTTCTGTGGGAGGCAGGAAGAATGTGCCTACTAAGGAGAACAAGGAGGTGTTGGAGCTGTTTATATCCTCTGTTCCTTGTGATGGTGGGCCTGTTGCCTGTCTTGACGCACATCAACATGCTCATGCAATTAGCTTTTTACACAGTTTGTCAGCTGTGTGGCATTGGTATTATTACTGTTGCATTTCAGGAGGTGGGGGAAGAAGTATTGGAAAAGCTCTGGCTTTTCTTCATGCATTTTAGGAATTACGGTTTTAGGACTGGTGTTATATATGATGTACCCTCTAGCTTCTTCACTTGCCTTAAATCTAAAATGAAATTTCCATTGAACTGTTGCCTTGATAACCTTTCTTTGACAAAGTTCTGACAAAACCCATGTTATCTAGGTAGACTTTTATTTGAGGCTTCTATGCAGAATGTTAAACTGATGATACAGTAAATAAAGGAAACAAGTCCTGTTTCAAGTTAACTTTCTTAAGTGTACAGTTAAATCCACATCCTAGCACTCTATTGAAGGGTTTTATGAACAGCTCAGTCATCAGCTTAGTACTATTTATTGGTTCAGAGAGATCATGAGTACATACGGGGGAATGCTTAGTTATCTATGAACCACTTGGAGTAGTTAATTTTTTTTTCTGCTGTTACTGAATATAATACTTTTCTGCCTTGGGTTAGATAAGAATGCAGTGAACCTTATGCCACCTGTGTCTTGAAAACTCTGAAGCTGTTAATTACCGAAAGAAATGGAATTCACCTATTTCACCAGTTTTAGTGCAGCACTTGGACTCTATTCAGCCAGGCTCAGAACAGGAGATTTTCATTTATGTCTTCTGCAACAAAGAAGAAAACTTTATTAACATTTGATGCCAAAGACACATTTTTATGCTGTATCACTATCAAAAAAGGATACACTAAAGTTTCAGAGGGCTCATGTAGGGGAATGCTATCCCTAACAAAAATCCAAATATGCTTGCTGCTATCATATCCAGGAGACATCCATTTAGACCCTTCTAGATAGGTGCTTTTTTGTTTCTAGTGTTAGGTCTCCTTGATCTCTTTGTAAGACAAGAATCCCTTCCACCCCACTCTTCACAAATAACTGACCCTAAACCCCTCTTTGGATGAACAATCATTGGCATAGTACATGCATATTATGATTAACTCCTCACAGCTTACTTCCATGTGTGATTTGTGACTGGTAAATTGTTATCAGAAGACTTGGAAAAATTCTGGGGAGAGTGAAGGCTCTGCATGTCTGGCTGGGATCAGCTTCCACTTAAAAGCAGGGAGTTGATAGTAGGATTTTGAACACATTACTTCAGTCTGCACGTTTCACCAAAGGCCTTCTGTCACATAGCTAGGATTAACCTGTGCTACTGCTACCCTTGCTGAATGACTGGCAGTATTGTTCAGCTGTCACTCAGGGTTAGATCAGAAGACAGTGGATTACAAAAGAATGTACTACATTAAATGTAGGTATGTAAATCTCAAATTGTTATCATGCCAGCTTCAGTTCAGCTGCTGCTTAATTCTAGAGACATCACCAGTATCTAGCTTTTCACTTTGCTAGAGAAGTCTGGATGTGGATTGAGCTGAACCAAACATGCATAAGTGTATTTGGGATTCAGAAACCGACACTGCCTCTGTCTAAGCCTACTGATGCGTGCAGTCTGGTGGGCACCATCTGCAGCTGACAGATGAGGTGAAATAGATGGTTTGGCCTTCAACTATTGTGTGATGACAGCATTTGTGTTGTATATAGCAATCTAGAGGTGAGCATAGTTACTTGATCAGTGAGAGATCTCTGTAGTTTTCTCTGCTCGGCTTGAGCTCTTTAAAGGCATTTTCAAACAGTATGTTTTGATCACTCATTTAAAACACATGCTCACTTTGCCTTTCCTTTGGCACCAAGGAGTAAAATAGAGTGTTCTAAGAGGCAGACATGTGGAGCATACAGGTTCCGACATCACGCAGGAATTATTTGATATTTAATACAAACTGCTTCCCAAATTTTTCCTCATGGAAAATATGATTTTTTCCTATCTGTATAGCAATTCAGAACCTTGAACCTCTTGCAGTCTTGCTACTGTTCCAGTTGCCTCTGTGCACAACAGCCATGAGCCTCTGGCTACAATCCCATATGTTGTGGTCTGAAAATGTGTCTAGTATTGACGGGAACATTTTGTCCTGTACATCTGTCTGTTCTTCTAGGTTTACCTTCCTTAATCCCAAAGCAGTGGCACCATTCCTTCAAAGCAATGAGTTTGTCATGGTCTCCATCACACTCTTGGAAGAAACGGGTTATGCAGTGTTCCATGGGAACAAGGGAGGCTCTCAAAGGCGCGAGCTCAGAGTGTGTTAATAATCTGAAAGAAAGAGCAGGTATGTAGAGCTGTATTTCATTAATAAATCATCAGCATAATCAAAGATGATCTAAGCTGCTAGAAGATGACTGGTGGCTTTGACACAGGTGCTCTGGCTTATTTTGTTGTGCTGCTTCCGTAGTGAATCTGTCCCAGGTCATTACAATGCTGTTCTATACCTGATGTTAAACTAAAATGTTTTTACTGCAATTTGTTTGCTAACATGTTTTTTTAGAAGAAGTTGTGGAGTTTTGCTGTTAGTCTTCAGGAGATCAGCTTGCAAAGGTGCTTAGCTATGTTCTAAGACAGTAGGTGTGATCAGCATGAGGTACTGGGACCCTGCAGCCTGGAAACATGAATTCTGGCAGCGAGTAGCATGACTAAAAGCCTGAAATCTGAATCACTTTCTCAGAAGCTGAGGGCTTCTTCTGAACTGTGACGCTGGTGCTGTCTTACCATATGTGTTCCTTAAACTGTGAGACTTCCGTGGCATTATTTGAAAGCTATGGGTATACCACTAGTGAATTCTTGCTGACAGGCCTCTGCCCTTTGTACTTAGCCTGTTGCTCTTAGCTTTGGTAATAACAGAATCTTGTGAGCCTTGTTTTCTTTCAGGATCAGGGTATTAGTAGCTATGAAGACACTATAGACCCTAAGGTGTAATGTATGATGATTATGAAAGGCAAGAGGGTACCACATTGTGACCTAAGACATGGCTTCAGCAAAACAATGAGGGAGGTTCTGTGTTAGATGAATGCCTCCTTAGAAAGAGGGGGATATGGACTTCTATCAGCTGAGGGACTGGTCC